ATTATTGCTTACACACTGCTTATATTTCTATTTTCATAACAAATTCCTTTTACTTCCCTTTTCAACACTACTACCTCATCCACTCTCAATTCTCCTACATGTACCACATTACTGCCCTGTTCAACAATTCCTACCTTTTCAGGATTACTGCCTCTGTTATACACTGCATATATTAATATTTCTTCAATCACAGTACTTCTATTACTGCCCTTTTCAATTCCTTTTACTGGTGTGTTCTATTTTTGCCTTGCACAGTAATGGCCTATTCCAATTGCCACCTAATCCCCTGCATAAATTTCCCCCAAATAATGCCCTACAATGCACTGCATCAATTTCCCCCAAATAATCGACCCCAACAATGCCCTAATGCAATTGCCCCCAAACATTTCCAAATTTGCTCGACCTGGACACACCACAATTCTCGAATATTGCCTACTAAATCTCTATCAAATATATTTCCCTTACTCATACATCACATTCACATGCTACATGCCCATATCACATAAACATCACAAACCTCACATAACCCTTGTATATTCTCAAGATTGTTTAACATATAATCACACACCATAGACATCATCCTTCTTTTTTACGATTCAAAATTCATCTCAAATACAGACAAGAGCAAGTAAACGTACCACTCCGTCGACAGTAATTACATGATTTTCAGTCGCCCCTTGCTTTGTTGAAGCGTGTGTTCGTTTCTCCTGCTTCCCAACTGCTCTCTTTCCCCGGGTCGGAGTCTTGTTCCTCATTTTTTGCCTTCAATCTCCGCCGTCGAGTATTGCCAAGGAGTTTTGGGAGTACGGATTATCCACGATGTTTCAGTTAATACGGATTATCCGTTTTGGGAAGTCCCACATTACGCTGCTGGTTTCTCGCCTGAATTCGCTCGTGGTAGTTAGTGGGAAGGGCATTTTTGGGTTTTTTATTGCCATTGTATCATGCACCCATGTATGTCACACGGTGTTTAGTCATACAGATGTTAAAATTCAATTTGAGTCATATTTTGGGAAACCTCATGTCTTTTAGTATTATTTAGGTTTTTTTCCCTAAAATTTAAAAAGCACTACGTAAATGTTTCATTCAGTGATAAACTCTCTCTCAAATTCCGGCTCATCTAAGGATAAATTAGCAAACTCTAAATAGTCCATTTCTTCCAAATTGCCAAACTCGTCTCCTCCAAATAAAGGGTCGGTACTTACTAGAAGAGTAGAAGTCTAGAACTGGGAAGCAATTGAAATTGAAGAGAACCAAAGTACCAAACCCTTTTCTTCTTCCGTTCTTCCGTCCTGTCTGGTCCTGTGAATAGCGAACCAGCGGTGGCACAGCACAGCAGCACATCAGCGGCACAACACTCCCTGACTCTCGTTCGCAGTCTTCCGCTCTTCCCTTTCGCAGGCGCAGATAACCCTTCTTCGACGCAATATTTATATACTGGATGTCTTATACGGCATTTGGTTTAAACCTGGGTTGACCTTAAATTGGTCATTTATTTAAAAATCTTAAACTTCATGCAACACATGTTTAAATTATTCAAGTATATATAGTATGGTGTGAGGAGAATTCTGCTACAGGCGGATATTATGGAAACACAATTTACACTGCGTTGGTATGGTCACAAACTATCACTCAATAAGTATGATATCACTTTTCAAATTATGACTTCGCAGTGTTTGAGTAGCTTCTTTGAGCTTACACTTGATGCCTGAGATTTTATCATTATTATTTATGTGCACAACTTGTTTATAAAAAAAATTGTGCTTCCATTACTTTTTTTTCTGACAATATGATTAAATTTCTAATGTGTATGACTCTATCAAAAGTTAATATATGTCTATCTCTATGACAAAAGTATATACATGCTTCAAGCATTATATTATCCTTTCTTAAGACAAAGGCATTCAATCTCTAAAAGACTAAAGCAATCGCCAATCTAACAATCTCTTGCTTTCATTGAAATAATATGAATCTCGCATATAGAATCTAACAATTAGTTAATACTACTCTTTAAGTAACGTAAAAGTTTTCAAATAATCATATTTGTGTTAGAGTATTTTAAAGGGTTGTCACGAACTGTTCATTTGATTGATTTTCTAAAATTTATTTTGACTTGTTATAAACAACTTGTGGATATTGTTCGCTTTAGTACTTCAGGACCTCACGGTTTTAAAATGCATCCACATGAAGGGCTTCAGGCTTTGCTTATAAATGCGTACACTATCTCATGTGTGAGCGATGTGTGAACTTCAGGTTCAAAATATACTCACTTGTACGTCAAATCAATGCTCTTATAGTGACTTCTGGCACTTTGTTATAATTTCATATATCTATTTATAAAATTTTGTTTGCTTTCTCCCCCTCTCAACTAGATTAATTTGAGAAAAGCATTCTACATAATTACAAGAACTTGTGATTTACAAGGCATTATTTGCGTATCCATAGCAATATTTAACTATGATTCGAATATAGTTGAGATCTATATCATGTTTGCTAATCATGCATTTTCTTAAAGTATATCACTTCCTTGAATGTTTTATACAACATTGAAGTTATATGAGTCATATTAATTTATGGATTAATATTCAAACAATCAAGTTTCTCATATAAATGTAATCATATTATGTAGCAAAAATGACCATATTTCTAATAGAGATGTGGCACGTATCTGTAACCTCCAATGCATTTTTCTTAATGCTTACATTAGCTCAAAGTAGTATGAATTAATTTATAATAATATAAATAAGCATTAGAAAAACAGAGAAATGTTAACGAAATAATTAAGATATCTATGATACATAATCAAGGTAATGAAGGCTACTCAGAGCACATTAAACAAGAAATTTGAAAAACAACTTAAGAATGCTACTATCGCGCCAGCTAGAATTGATTTATATCATAGACGATATTTAAAACAATAGAAATATTGATATGTATCAATATAAGTAGTATAGAATATCACATAAATTGCACATTTATTTAACAAATTTACCATATACATAAACATATATGTAATTTTATTATCTCATAAATAGAACATATTATAAGTATGAACTATTAAAACATTTTTGAATATATGGTGAAAATATATGTTACCTTAGAAGCCAATCTATGTTAGAAACACATGATTTAATTAGTACAATTGGATTCAAAATATCATAAATGATAGTAATGATTTGTATATATGCCAATTAAATTTAATTTATGACATTAATTGAGAAATAAAAGGTCATTCTCCAACTCTTATTGACTAATAAATATGCTTGAATTATACGTTTCAAATAGCTAGTAAAAGACTAGTAAACATGATTTAAAAATCCTCCTTAACAATGGGCCGTGTTTCTAAACTCATGCGTACTTACCTTTCATTTTTTATGGTTTTCACAACTAATCAGTAAATTAATTTATAAACTAAATGAAATAAGGAGTATATAGGAAGTAACATTTAAACTGAAAAAAAGTATGGAACTAATACCCATTTGATGAAACAGACAACAAGAAAAAAAAAAGAGTTCTCAATCTCAAAGAAACTAAATTTTGTTTTTTTTTGCGAGAAAAAAAAAATAGTTATTTGGATGTATGGATCAACTAGATCAAAACATGTGTAAACAAAGTACGTATATATACACCTCAAGAAATGAATTACACATATACACCGCAGTTCAAGATAATCAACGCCATATGAACCAATTTTGATAAAATATTTACCACATGCACTTTTCTCCTTTTAATATGAAGTACATAACAAGAGCAGGTATTATGTTTCATATACTGTTCAAATATATTACTACGTATTTAGAGTTCCTCAATTTTTCATGCACAAATCCAAGTATATAATTCATGAGGAAGATTCGTATGTTAAAAGTATAGTAAAACAGTAAATCTTTGAGATAATTAAGTTTAATAATAGTAATAAAGACTAGCAAAAGTTTATGAAATAAATTGACTGGCTGCAAGTCTGCAACGGTTGCAACGTAAAGGCTCTTGTTTTGATTAGAAAAACAAAAATCAAATCAATGATTTAATATCAATTAATTGGTCCAGAAGTAATAATCTTTAAAGTATTGATTACTGTAAAAAAAGAGTAATAATCTTTAAGGTATTGAATACTTTTCCATTCAAAAGAAGCAAAAATTAATTCATTTGAGATATACTTAACATCAGTTTTTTTTCAATGCTCTCAACGAGAGCACCATCCATGATTATATTGTGTGACTTGAAGTCACTTGCCATACTTATAATTTCATGCTAAATAATTGAAAAGTTGAATTTCAGTTCAATTCATCGAGTAAGGAACTAAGGATAAAGTGGAACTGTTGAGTCATCAATAATAAGATAAACTTTTCTTGAGGAAAACTTCGTATTTAATACTACGTATAATTATTTTATTGTTGTCTCGCTATAGCAAGAAAAATATATACCGAGTATAATTCTCATTAAATATTCATTAAAAGATAAGAAGGGATACTTATCCCAAATAAAACTCCGAACTGGGTGTTGATTACTTAGTTTTTTTGATGACTAACCTCAGACAGAAAAGACCTCTAAGTCCAAACGACAATAATTCATTATTTAACTAACCATGCAGGTGGACCTTTGGATAGAATTACGAACGGTTCTATCAAGAACAAACTTGGTAATTAGTTTTGTTGATTAACATACATAATTATCATGCTTGATAAATGAATTGATTGATGTATGCCTACATGCCTATGACACTAGAATATTACACACATGGTACATTTCTTAATAGATGACTAAGCATTTAGTTTAATGACTTGACCTATGTATGTGTCAGTGTTGGGCATTTATTTGCTGCTATTTTTACATATTCAAGAGGTCCCAATAAGTGTTTTTATTCTCTAATTAAGTTCTTAATTTATTTTATTTTATTTTAATAAGTGGTCAAAGAGAGCAGGTCAATTTTTATTAGTGTGCATTTGACAGCTTTTAGACTAAGTTAACTGATTTAGTTTTCTAGTCTAAACCTAGTGCACGTGATTTGCTTTATACATGGTTTATATTTTGAGTCTCCAGCAATTGAAAAGTCACGTGGCTGAGGAAGGATGAAGCAACCGATCAAAAGAAAAACGCAGCAAGAAATAAGGAAAGAAGCTGGAGGATTCCATATCAGTTTTGATCCGCTGAGGAAATATCGGGATTGCAGCAGCGGAAGGAGTGATTTTCGACCAGAGATGAACGGTCCCGAAGAAGACGGCTGCAGTGAAAATAAATAGAGAAAAGAAGAGAAGAAACAGGGGAAGAAGGGAAGGAATAAAAGAAGAAAAAACGCAGCAGCGAGGGTAAGAGAGAGGAGAAACGAGCAGGGGGCGCAGACCAGAAAGCAACGAAACCGATCCTCATCCTTGGGGCAGTTTTCCATCTTTAAATTTCTGCAATTTTTATTTTAATTTGGTTCTGTTTCCATTGCTAGATGAATACTAGTAGCTAAACCTTTGATTTTCCAATTCTAAGTTAATACTCTGTAGTTTAATTCGTGAGATTTTGTACTTTATGACTGATTTGTCATGGTATTCTATATTTTTATGAATTGATTTCAGTTGAATTCATGAGATTAGTTAATTTGGATGCATACTTATTTACTATTCTTGTGAGTTTATTGCTAGTTGAAATCTGATTTGTTGAAATTAGGTTTCATTATAGTAGTAACTAGGTGCTTATGAACCATCTAGAAAAATATAGATACGAATTGAATATTCACCCGTTTGGGAAATATTATTCGTGTTGGCTAAAAAAATTAACAAAGATTAATGCGATTGAACCCTGAATCTTAAACGTTTGTTATAAGATTGGGCATCAATTAGACTTAATTGACGGCGTTTGTCGCTTTTAGGTATAATAATAGGAGAATTGGAGATTAGTTTGCGTTCGCAATTAGTCTACGCCAACTATTATGACGGATAAATTTCCTTTGTCAATGATCGATTAAACCTACATGAGTTAAAACTTGGAATTGGAAATCTCTCTATTTATAATCCTCGTTTACACTTTAATCTATTTTATACATACTTTGCATTTTTAATTTCTTTCGATTTAAAAATATTTGAATCTAATAACTTGAGAATTAGTAGTTAATCATCCAAACTCCCTGTGGGATCGACCTGAACTTTCCATATCTACGTGTTAGTTTAGTTTTATAATTTGGTGTTAAAACGACACGCACCAAATTTTTGGCGCCGTTGCCGGGGAGTTAAGTAGATTAGCTACTTCTCTCTTAAGTTACTATTTTTTTTTTTAAATCAAGTTGTTCATAGTCTTAGTTATTTATTTTATTTTGTTTATTTATTTTTATAGTGCTGATTTTATTATTAAAGCATGTGTCTATATACAGATTGAGATAGTGCATGACCAGAAGAACTGAGGGACTATCTCCTGAAGCACCGTTGAATCTTGAGATTGAATCATTTTGTAGGAGACAGAACGCTCAAACAAGGAGAGCCCGTGCAGCAGAACGTGAAACAATGGCTAATGATGCGAACCGCACCATAAGGAATTTGGCAATGCCAAACCTGGACAATCAACCGCTTTGCATTCAATATCCAGAGCTTGAAGCTGCCTTGGAACTTCGGTCAGGCCTAATTCAACTCCTGCCTAAGTTTCATGGACTAGCAGGAGAAGATCCACACAAGCATTTGAAGGAGTTCCAAGTTGTTTGTTCCACCATGAAGCCTACTGGAGTGCCTGAAGATCACATCAAGTTGAGAGCTTTCCCCTTCTCATTGGATGGTGCAGCTAAAGATTGGCTATATTACTTGCCAAGCGGGTGTATTACCTCTTGGAATGATATGAAGAAAATGTTCTTGGAGAACTACTTTCCAGCCACCCGTACAGCTGTTTTGCGGAAGGAGATTTGCGGAATCAAGCAAATGCCTGGAGAGACCCTATATGAATATCGAGAGAGATTTAAAAAATTATGCCAGATTTGTCCTCACCACCAATATACTGAAGTTCAGTTGATTCAGTATTTCTACGAGGGCCTACTACCTGTTGATCGAGTGATGTTGGATGCTGCAAGTGGAGGAGCCCTCATTGATAAAACCCCAGTAGAGGCTTGGAGACTGACTGATACTATGGCTGCGAACTCACATCAATTTGGCATGCGCCAAGATGTTGGCATTAAGCAAGTGAACGAGATAGCAAGTTCAAATCTTGAGCAACAACTTGCTGCCACAAATCAGCAACTTTCACAACTCACTACTTTGATGATGACTCAAATGAACCTGCAAAAAACTAAAAATGTGTGTGGTGTTTTCTCTTCTAATGCTCACTATAGTGATTAATGTCCTCTATTGCTTCAAGGGAAGACAGAAGAAGCTAATGCAATAGGGTTTCCTGGTTCTTCACAACGCAAGTTTGATCCTTTTTCGAACACCTATAATCCAGGATGGAAGAGCCACCCGAATCTGAGCTATGGCAATAACAACAATTCAGCTTTTCAATATCATCCGCAGTAAATGCCTGGACCAGGGAGTTCTCAATCTGGAGCTCCTAATCAGAACTCAACCTCTACGCTTGAGGCTATGATGCAGAAGCTGGTGGACGGACAGTTGAAGTTAGAGCAAGAGAAGCTGAAATTTGAGCAAGAAACTAGAGCGGGAATGCAGGATTTAAGGACACAGGTGGGTCAGCTAGCTACATCTATGAGTAGACTCGAGTCCCATCTCTCTAACAGGCTCCCTTCACAGCCTATGAACCCAAATCAAAGTGCGAATGCCATCACTCTTCGTAGTGGCAAGACTTTGAGTGAAAACTGAGCCAAGAAGGTGTCATTTCAGCCCGACCAAGAGAAGGAGACAGAGGTTAAAAGTGGTCTGGATGATGATTCAGATGTACCCCAGCTGCAAAATCAAGAGAAATCAATGGCAGATGACCCCGTTTGCAAGCTGAAAAATGATAAAGAGGCGAACTCCTTTGTACCGGCTAATGTTCTTTTCCCTCCTTTTCCTTCAAGGTTGGCTAAAAAACATAAAGAAAGCCTGGAAAAGGATATTTGGGATACTTTTTGGAAAGTGGAAGTGAATATACCTCTCATTGATGCAATCAAGCAAGTTCCGCGGTATGCAAAGTTTTTAAAGGAACTCTGCACAAACAAAAGAAAAATTAGAGGGGATGAAAGAGTAAGCCTAAATGAGAATGTCTCTGCCGTACTCCAACGGAAGCTCCCTGTGAAGTGCAAGGATAAAGGTTCATTTTCTATTCCTGTTCCTATAGGTAGCAAGAGGTTTGAGAGGGCTATGTGTGATCTCGGGGCATCCATTAATGTTATGCCATACTCTGTTTATACTACTTTGAACATTGGACCCTTAAATGAGACCGGTGTGATTATACAATTGGCTGACAGGTCCAATGTGTATCCTGAGGGGCTGGTTGAGGATGTTTTGGTGCGGGTGGGTGATCTGGTTTTTCCAACAGACTTCTTTGTGTTAAAGATGGAAGAAAATGAACTAGACCTTACACCGATTCCTCTTTTGCTTGGAAGACCATTTCTAAGAACAGCAAGAACACAGATTGACGTGTTCAAGGGTATTTTAACAATGGAATTTGATGGAAATATAGTGTGCTTTGATATTTTTGAGGCCATGCGTTTTCCCAGTGATGTCCATGCTGTTTTTTCCGTTGATGTGCTAGACGTTATTTCTGAACAGGTGATGGAGTTGGAAGCAGCCGATAGCTTGAGTTTGGTGTTGAGAAATAGCTTTAACAACCAAACATATAATTCATTGGAGCTGGCACCTAAAGAAGAGATTCAGGAGACGATTGCAGCCCTAGAAGCACTCCCGATGAAATCTGGGAAATTTAATTTATCTTATATTGATCTTCCAGTCCCAACCACCAAACTCCTCCCATCTACAGTGCAGCCCCCTGAAGTTGAACTTAAGCCACTGCCTTCCCAATTAAAGTATGCATTTCTGGGATCAAATGACACCCTTCCAGTGATTATCTCAAGTGAGCTAACTCCAACTCAAGAGGATAAGCTGATTAGAGTTCTGAGAGAGTATAAAGAAGCTATCGGGTGGAGTATTGCTGATATCAAAGGAATCAGTCCAGCAATTTGCATGCATAGAATCCTTCTGGAAGATGGAGCTAAACCCGTTAGGCAGCCTCAAAGGAGGCTGAATCCTCCTATGATGGACGTGGTGAAGAAGGAGGTAATGAAGCTTTTAGAAGTTGGAATTATATACTCCATTTCTGACAGTGAGTGGATGAGCCCGACTCAAGTAGTACCAAAAAAATCTGGAGTGACAGTGGTGAAGAATAAAGATGATGAACTCATTGCTCAAAGAATTCAGAATTCCTGGAGGGTATGCATTGATTACAGAAAACTAAATGAAGTGACAAGAAAAGATCACTTTCCGTTACCCTTCATGGATCAGATGCTTGAGAGACTAGCAGGGCATGAGTATTATTGCTTCTTGGATGGTTACAGTGGATACTTTCAGATTGTGATAGCACCAGAGGACCAAGGTAAAACAACATTCACCTGTTCTTTTGGCACATTCGCATACCGGCGAATGGCATTTGGGTTGTGCAATGCTCCAGCTACATTTCAGCGATGCGTAATGAGCATTTTTCAGGACTACGTTGAGGAAATCATTGAGGTATTTATGGATGATTTTTCAGTTTATGGCGATTGTTTTGATTCTTGTTTACATAACTTATCCTTGATTTTGAAAAGATGTGTTGAAACTAACCTTGTTTTGAATTCTGAAAAATGTCATTTTATGGTGAAGCAAGGTATAGTTTTAGGTCACATTGTTTCCAGTAGGGGTTTAGAAGTTGACAAGGCCAAAATTGATGTTATTCAGAATCTGACCTATCCTTCTTCTGTGAAGGAAATTCGTTCTTTTCTTGGGCATGCAGGGTTTTACAGGAGGTTTATCAAGGATTTCTCTCAGATAGCCTCACCATTATGCCATCTGTTACAGAAGGATGTTGAGTTTCAGTTCGATGATGCTTGCAAGGAGGCATTTGATAATTTGAAGACTGCACTCACAACTGCCCCTATTGTTCAATCACCAAGGTGGGACCTCCCATTTGAAGTGATGTGCGATGCGAGCAACAATGCAGTTGGTGCGGTGTTGGGCCAGAGAGTTGACAAATGTGTTCATGTGATCTATTATGCCTCTCGCACCCTGAATTCTGCACAGCGAAATTACACGACCACAGAAAAAGAGCTTTTAGCTATTGTGTTTGCTTTAGATAAATTTCGTTGTTATTTGTTAGGTGCCAAAGTTATTGTGTATTCTGACCATGCAGCCTTGCGTTACTTGTTGGCAAAGAAAGAGGCAAAACCCCGCTTGATTCGTTGGATTCTTCTGTTACAAGAATTCGACTTGGAAATCAAGGATAAAAAGGGGGCAGAAAATTCAGTTGCTGATCACTTGAGTCGCCTGGAAGTTGAGGGCGATGTCGGTCCAATAGGTGATTTCTTTCCTCATGAGAGTTTTCTTTTGATTGACACAGAGTTACCTTGGTATGCTGATTTGGTAAACTATCTAGTTTCTAGGCAGCTACCTAGTGATTTGAGTAAGCATCAAAAAGAGAAATTGAAAAGTGATGCTAGGTTTTATTTGTGGGATGAGCCTTATTTATGGCGTTTTTGTTCTGATCAGATTATTAGGAGATGCATTCCACAAAAAGAACAGCCACCCATTTTAGAATTTTGTCATTCTCAGGCATGTGGTGGTCACTTTGGGCCTAAAAGAACTGCTAGGAAGATTTTAGACTGTGGATTTTATTGGCCCTCCATTTTTAGGGATGCATATTTTTTTTGCAAGTCTTGCGATAAGTGCCAGAGAATGGGAAATTTGTCTAGAAAAAATGAAATGCCTTTGTACCCAATTATTGTTGTCGAAATTTTTGATGTATGGGGCATAGATTTTATGGGACCATTTCCTAATTCTTTTGTCAACTTTTATATTCTTTTGGCTTGTGATTATGTGTCTAAGTGGGTGGAAGCTAAGGCTACCAGAACGGACGATGCTAAGGTTGTTGCAGATTTTGTCCAAAATAATATTTTTTGCAGGTTTGGCATTCCTAGGGCGTTGATCAGTGACAAGGGCACACATTTTTGCAACAGAGTGATAGGAGCTTTAGTGAAGAAGTACGGGGTTACTCACAAGATCTCCACGGCTTACCATCCTCAGTCCAATGGCTAAGCGGAGGTATCCAACAGAGAGATAAAACAGATTTTGGAGAAGACAGTGAACCCTACAAGAAAGGATTGGAGTTTGAGACTGCCAGATGCACTGTGGGCGTACCGGACAGCCTATAAGACACCAATCGGGATGTCTCCATTTAGGCTTGTGTACGGAAAAGCATGTCACTTACCAGTAGAGCTTGAACACAAAGCGTGGTGGGCTGTGAGGCAACGCAATTTCAATATTGATGATGCTGGTGTTCACAGAAAGCTTCAAATTCAGGAGCTGGAGGAAATTCGAAATGATTCCTATGAAAATGCTGCGATCTATAAGGACAAGACAGTCAAATGGCATGATAAAATGATAGCGAGGAAATCATTCCGTGAAAGCCAGAAAGTGTTGTTGTTTTATTCAAGGTTGAAACTATTTCCAGGGAAGCTATGCTCTCGTTGGACTGGTCCGTTTGAAGTGGTGAAGGTTTACCCACATGGTGCTATTGAAATCAAGGACCCAAAGACCTTGAAAATCATTAAAGTCAATGGGCACAGGTTGAAGTCTTATTACGAGGGTTTTCAAGCACATATGGTTGAGTGAGATGATTTAATTGATCCAGATAATGATGGTTGAAGTACTCAGTCGCGTCGAGCCAAAGACGTTAAACAAAAGCGCTTGTTGGGAGGCAACCCAATTTCATATTTACTTTTATTTATTTGTTTTTTTATTTTATTTTGATTTCAGTTTTTATTTAAATTTTAGTTGCTTTTTATCTTTAATTGTTTTCTAATTTGCAGGTTTTTAGTTGCCACCAGACTGCTCACTTTCAACTTGAGGAGTACATCAATAAAATCAGGGGAGTTTTACTGTGCTTGCTGCTATCCTACTCTTCTTTTTGTCAATTGAGGACAATTATCAGTTTGAGTTTGGGGGTGGGGTGTTTATGAAAAAAAAAACCAAAAAGAAAAAAGAAAAAAAGAGGTAACTCCCTTGGCATTCATTTTCAAAGCCACTTGAGGGTTATATTGATTGGGAGATAGATTCTTGTGTTTTTAGGGATGCATAATAAGATTGCAGGTGTTTGGCTATGTGTGTTTGCGAATAAGAGCAGGTGGTCACATTGAAACCTTGAGTTTTTGAGCCTAATAGTTGCCCAGGGCAGCTTGTTTTCTTTGTGAGTGCATAATTCCCTTCTCTTGGTTGTGTTACTTCTAGAACTTGCTTTAAACCATTTCAGAACCATGAGTTGTGTGTTTGCACGAGAATGATAAAGGCATTAGAGTTTAACCAAAAAGGCCTTAAAAGATCACCTTCTCACAGTGTGCATTTTGTCCCCTAGGCAACCCCGTTGAGCCATGAAATAAATCTGACCACTTTCTTTCCTTAGCCACTCCCAAAGAACCCAAAACCATGAAGAAAAAGAAAAAAACTTTGACCCATCCATGAGTCAATTGAGCTTTTGTTTGCAAGCCAGTGAAAAGGAAAGTGTGGGTGTGTCAGTTTTTGACTAACCATTGGAAAGTGTGGCATGCTTGAGGCATAGAGATGAATGTGAAGTGATGAATTTGAATGGCTGGAATGTTTGTTCTGAACTTGAGTTAGTAATGGTGGAGTTTTTTTTTTGAAGAATTGTTGCACTTGAACGAGTTGTATTCGGATTAAAAAACAAAAAAAAAACAAAAAAAAAATCAAAATCAGAAGTTCTGCTTTGTTTTTACCTTGTCATGATGCTGCTTTGAGCAAATGGATGGTGTCAGAGGAGATGGATTATGAGCTGGCAGTTTTTGGAGATTGATTTAGAGCATTGAGTTCGAGTTGTTCTTTTCTTGGAATCTGGTTTGTGAACATATGCTCGACTGACTCGTGGCCTTTGTTTTCCCTTCCTCCCGTTCTTTCTTAAACCACTCACCTTGGCCCCATTACAACCGAAACAAAGACCTTTTGACTCGTGCTTCTCATGTACTTAACTGGTGCAATTGTGGTAGACAAGCAAGCATATGGTAAGTGCACTTTCAAGAAAGGATGTGTGTGTGAACCCCTATCTTAAACACTTGAGTGATGAAGAGTGAAACCTGTGAGGACTGCTTGCTCTATTGTCTGGGATACATATGGTTTCAAACTCTCATGAACAATTATGCGTCTGCTAAGGCTCTAAGATTGAATGCCCAGTTGATGTACTTGACTAGTGGTTTTATTTTGTTTGCTAAGGGACTAGCAAAGAGTGAGTGTGGGGGGATTTGTTGGGCATTTATTTGCTGCTATTTTTACATATTCAAGAGGTCCCAATAAGTGTTTTTATTCTCTAATTAAGTTCTTAATTTATTTTATTTTAATAAGTGGTCAAAGAGAGCAGGTCAATTTTTATTAGTGTGCATTTGACAGCTTTTAGACTAAGTTAACTGATTTAGTTTTCTAGTCTAAACCTAGTGCACGTGAAAAGTCACGTGGCTGAGGAAGGATGAAGCAACCGATCAAAAGAAAAACGCAGCAAGAAATAAGGAAAGAAGCTGGAGGATTCCATATCAGTTTTGATCCGCTGAGGAAATATCGGGATTGCAGCAGCGGAAGGAGTGATTTTCGACCAGAGATGAACGGTCCCGAAGAAGACGGCTGCAGTGAAAATAAATAGAGAAAAGAAGAGAAGAAACGGGGGAAGAAGGGAAGGAATAAAAGAAAAAAAAACGCAGCAGCGAGGGTAAGAGAGAGGAGAAACGAGCAGGGGGCGCAGACCAGAAAGCAACGAAACCGATCCTCATCCTTGGGGCAGTTTTCCATCTTTAAATTTCTGCAGTTTTTATTTTAATTTGGTTCTGTTTCCATTGCTAGATGAATACTAGTAGCTAAACCTTTGATTTTCCAATTCTAAGTTAATACTCTGTAGTTTAATTCGTGAGATTTTGTACTTTATGACTGATTTGTCATGGTATTCTATATTTTTACGAATTGATTTCAGTTGAATTCATGAGATTACTTAATTTGGATGCATACTTATTTACTATTCTTGTGAGTTTATTGCTAGTTGAAATCTGATTTGTTGAAATTAGGTTTCATTATAGTAGTAACTAGGTGCTTATGAACCATCTAGAAAAATATAGATACGAATTGAATATTCACCCGTTTGGGAAATATTATTCGTGTTGGCTAAAAAAATTAACAAAGATTAATGCGATTGAACCCTGAATCTTAAACGTTTGTTATAAGATTGGGCATCAATTAGACTTAATTGACGGCGTTTGTCGCTTTTAGGTATAATAATAGGAGAATTGGAGATTAGTTTGCGTTCGCAATTAATCTACGCCAACTATTATGACGGATAAATTTCCTTTGTCAATGATCGATTAAACCTACATGAGTTAAAACTTGGAATTGGAAATCTCTCTATTTATAATCCTCGTTTACACTTTAATCTATTTTATACATACTTTGCATTTTTAATTTCTTTCGATTTAAAAATATTTGAATCTAATAACTTGAGAATTAGTAGTTAATCATCCAAACTCCCTGTGGGATCGACCTGAACTTTCCATATCTACGTGTTAGTTTAGTTTTATTATTTGGTGTTAAAACGACACGCACCAGTCACCTAAATAAATATTTTGCCACTATAATTGTAATTGACCGTGACATTTAGCCAAAAAGGTCAACTGGAAACTCCCTTGGTAAGGATACTTTAGTAGCGTGACTTTTTAAGTAAAATTTGGACGCTGCATGCTTATATATATGATATCACGCTATCTTGCCATCTTAACTTGATTGTCATATTAATAAAGGTTGACCGAAACTTTCCTAAAAAGAAATATTCTTGTAGCTTGATCGCATGAATATTTTATTGCTACTTAATGACTGTTGCGTGTCTACATGTTAAGTAAATCAATATTGATTCCTTATATGATGACTCGTAAAATCATTCATGATTGAACGATTAAAGTGAAGCAACTGGAAGGAAAGAAATTCAAAATTATCAAGGCAAGTCTACCAAGCTTCAAAAGGAAAGAAGGATCAACGAACATCTTCTAGCCCATATTTATATTCGAGGAATCAAGAACAAGAGTGTGTCTGATCGAGCAATCACAGAGAGAAATACTTATTAAGAATTATCAAGACCAAGGCACTTGGACCTACTTACGAAGTTCTAGATATAGTTTCTTTTCCCTTCTTTATCTTGTAACTAGATTTTGAGGAAAAGCTAAAGTGTAGCTTCCTCGGGTTGGGGTCGTGTGTGTGAGAGCTTTGTTTTAAAGCTGAGAGGTTCTCTACCCACAAGGTAGAGCTGCATAACTCTTCCTAGAGAGGATAGAGTTAGGGTGGCTCAAGGGTAGATTAGGAGAATTTACCTTGTAACCACAAAAGGCTTATTAGTGAAGTTGTTGAAAATTCCTCCGAAGGAGGTCGAGGTTTTTTAATCCCTTTGAGCCAAGGGATTTTTCCTCGTTAAATCCTTGTGCAGTTTACTATTTAACTTTTCCCTGGACCCCACACTAGAACTGTGCGAAAAACTGCCACGGTTCCACACACACAATTCACCCCCCGCCCCCCTCTTGTGTTGCTAACCGTTTCATCAATTGGTATCTGAGCCGGTCTTCGCCACATAAAGGTTAATACCTTGGGAAGAGATCTGGCAGCATGAATACGGTTGAACGATTGGAAGAAGGATACTCGACTCAACGACCACCATTGTTCAACGGCAAATTTTATCAATTCTGGAAGAGTCGAATGGAGAACTTCATCAAAGCTGAGAATTATCAGGTATGGAATGTAATTGAGGCAGGTGATAACGTCATTACTAAGGTGGACTCCAAAGGTAAGGTTGTTCCTAAACCCAAATCTGAATTCACTGCTGATGATTATCGTAAACTCGAGCATAATGCCCAAGTATTGAAATATTTGATCTGTGGACTTGGTCCGGCTGAGTACAACTGTGTTCTTGGATGCAAATCTGCAAAACAAATGTGGGATTTACTCGAGGTTACGCATGAAGGTACCTCGCGTGTAAAAAAGATCCAAAATTGACATACTTATGCGTAATTACGAATTGTTCGTGATGAAACCTAAAGAGTCCATTAGGGATATGATTACACGCTTTACTAATATTATAAATGAGCTTTCAGCACTTGGAAAGGATATTACTCTGACTATGACACTTGCCCTCCGCATGGAAGCCCAAAACTACGGCTATAGAAGAAGCTAAAGATCTCTCCACCATGACGCTAGAAGACTTGATCGGTTCGCTCATGACATATGAGTTAGGCCTACAAGAAGAACAAGATGTCGAAAATGTGAGGAAGGAGCGAGGAATTGCTCTCAAGGCTCGAGAGGAAGAAGAAGACTCCGAAAGTGAATCGGAAGACGAAATGAGCATGTTTGCCAAGCAATTCGGAAAGATGTACCAAAAATTCAAGGGCAACCGGAACAAGCAAGGTAAGAAAGGTTTTCAATCTTTTAATAACCAAGGTTGTTTTGTTTGTGGGTCATTTGAGCACAGGGCAAAAGATTGTCCTCAAAAGAAAAATGATAGAACTTACGACAAGAACAAGACCAGTTCTCAACGACGGTCCAGTGAAGATAAAGGGTTCAACAGAGACCTCAAGAAGGCAATGATGGCAGCTTGGGGAGATTCATCCGATGATGAAGAAGAAGAAGAAGAACAAAAAATCCAAAATCATGCAGGGTTGTGCCTCATGGCTAATTCCGATGAAGAATCTGACCAAGAGAATTTCGAGGTAAACTCGGAAAGCTTTCTTTCTAAATTTGATTCCCTCTCTAAAGGCAAGGTTCGGAATTTTTTTTAAAGATTAACTATCAAGCTAAATCAAAGTCTTTCTGAAAACGATCATCTTAAATCACAAATCACCGAACTTGAGTCTAAACTCGAGGAAACCACTAGAGCCAAGATAAGGCTGGAAACAAAAGTGGGAGAGTTAATAGATGAAAGGCTCAAGTACAGTGAAGTGGTTTTAGAACAAGATAATCTCATTTGCTCACTCAAGCTCGATAGTATGAATAAACAAGTTAATGATGAAGAAAAACTTCTAAGAAAAATTCTGGACATTGCCTTGCTCATTAATCATCTCAATCGCCTTGAGGACGAGAGACAGATTTCAAAAACAAACCGGAATACCAACCATATAGTACCAAAGTCAGAACCAGGTCTAGACAGCATTCTAGAACTGGACCCTCTCGGTACAAAAGAAAGGAAAACGAGACTGCTGGTCTCAGATATATTCCAAGAGACACTTAAATGAATCAAAAACCGAGTTTTCAGAACCAACCCTTTTATGGTAATAGAACTAGAGGACAAACCAGTTCTAGGCCGTATCAAAGGCAATCTAGAACTGGACCAACCTGGTTCGATAAGCTGGTTCAAAGACACAAAACGGGTTATGGACAAACACCTAACCAAGAATTTTATAAAAGGGGCAAAGACTTTTTCGGAAATTGGAAAACCAAATATGTTGATACATATGATGGCCGAATTTGCGGGCATTGTGGCAAAGACGATCATCTTAGGTATCAATGTCACTCTCGGCAACAGGCCTTGGAGAGAAGCTTTAATTTTAGTAAATATTCCTCAAACAAATACAAAATTGAACTCAAGCAGATCTGGGTTCTACGCACTAAACCTTAATCCTGGAACATCGCCGAGTGAGGGGGAACAATCACTGGTTCCTTGACAGAGGTTGTTCTAAGCACATGACAGGAGATAAATCTTTATTCCTCTCACTACGGCCATTTAGTGATGGAAAGGTGACGTTTGGAGACAACAGTAAAGGAGAAATCATTGATGTGGGAAAAATTGGAAAGTCACATGACCATGCAATAGACAATGTTTTCCTAGTCAAGGGTCTAAAGTTTAATTTGCTTAGCATTTCTCAGTTTTGCGATCGAGGTAACAGTGTAGTTTTTGATCATAATGTATGTCGCATTGTCAATAACGAATCTCAGCAAGTCATACTAGAAGGCAAGAGACTTGAAAATACCTATAAAGTTGATCTTGACTTGTTGCCAAGCATAAGTCTAACTTGCCTAAGCGTTATTGACAATGATCCCCTACTCTGGCATAAAAGGCTGGGCCACGCTAGTTTTTCATTAATAAATAAACTCAAAAATAATGAATTGGTAGTTGGACTACCTAAATCAAATATTCCCTTAATCATATTTGCTCCGCCTGTGCCACCGGAAAACAATCTCGATCATCTTTTAAAACAAAGAATTTTGTGAACACAAGCAAGCCCATTGAACTAATTCATATGGATTTGTGTGGTCCAATGTCAGTCCGAAGTCGGGGAAACAAATAATATGTTTTAGTTATTGTTGATGACTTTTCACGATATACTTGGACTATCTTTCTTGCAAGTAAGAAAGATACGTTTAATGAGTTTGTTGTTTTTGTAAGGAAAGTTAAGCATCAAACAGGGTTGCAACTAATTAAGATCCGATCAGATCATGGAACTGAGTTTGACAACTCACTCTTTCATACATTCTGCAAGGAACGAGGCATAGACCACAATTTCTCTGCCCCTAGAACCCCCTAACAAAACGGGGTTGCAGAACTCAAGAATAGAACACTGAAAGATATGACTAGAACAATGCTGATTTCCAGTGGATTAGCCAGAAAATTTTGGGCAGAAGCTCTGAACACAGCGTGCTACATCATTAATAGAGTCATGATCCGTCCACTCCTGGGGAAAACACCATACGAATTATTCAAAGGGAGAAAACCCAACATTAGTCATCTAAGAACATTTGGATGCAAATGTTTCGTCCACAATAATGGGAAGGACAATATTGGCAAATTCGATGCAAGAAGTGACGAGGCAATCTTCCTCGGATACTCTACTCATAGCAAAGCCTACAAAGTTCTAAATAAACGTACTCAATGTGTGGAAGAAAGCATCCATGTAATTTTTGATGAAGCCCTCTCATTAAAGCAAAGGTAAGATGATGAAGGAGATATAGGAAT